CTCCAACTTGCAATTCCCCTGCCCCAGCCTCCCAGGTAGCAGGGATCACGGGGGTACACCACTATGCCCGGCTCTGTTGTTTCTTTATTTGTAAAATGGGGATAAGGAAATCTAGCTGTTGGGCACTTGTGAGGATTTCAAAGAGAGGACTCCGTGGCACAGAGTAGGCCTTCAGTGACGATAGCAGGCAGCTCTCCGAGCCTCTGAAATGCAGCTTAAAGCCCCCAAGCTCACGTTCCCTGCTCATCTCCTGGTCGGACCCCTGCTCGGTCTGAATCGTGCATCTGTAGGCTCCTCCCTACCCTCCGGGCTTTGGCGTGGGCAGGGTCCACTCCTTGTCTGCCCCAGCATCAGGAACAAGGCTACTGAATCTTTCTACCAAAGACTGGGGGGTCTGGGGTGGGGTTCTTCTGTGCGAGATACTAAGGACCACCTTCAATGCGAGAGCAAAGGTCTCGTGTGGACCAGGGCACTCCCACGGATCCTGTCCCTCCACAGGGCCCCCACCTCCCCTCAAGCTCTCAAGCACCTCAGCCCAGCGCCTCCAAGACCACATCTGGCCAGGACCCCCTCCCTGGGGTCTCTGCTTCTCTCCCGCGTTCCGCCCTCTCCTCCCAGGCTGGCCTGAGCCTCCTCCGCTTCTCAGACCCCCAACTGTGCGCCAAGGATGCCGATGAAGACCCAGTGTCTTCCAGCCTTCAAAAGAACACTTCCCCTTTCTGCTCCATATTTATTGAGCACCGACTGTATGCAAGGGACCTGTGGGTGCAGGTGTGATCCTCCCTGGCTCCTGGGTTCCAGCTTCAGCCTTGGGGGCTTGCTCTGGGCACCTGCTTCTCTGGGCACAGCTGACAGACTCGCCGCAGATGCCACACACAGCATCCAGTGGACTCAAGGCACAGAGGCCCGCTGCACAGGGCGCCAACACAAAGGGACGCACGCACACGGGCACACTCCCTGCTAATTCCTGCCTTTGAGAACAGTCTCTGGTCTGTCATCCCCACTCAGTGTTGATAAAGCAAAATAAAAAATAAAAAGAAAGAAAGAAATCCACCCTGTCACTTGGACTCCCCACCCTGCCAGGCTTGGCAGCCCCACCCCACCCCCGCCTTTGTATTATGGGTTTGTGTCAAGGTGTGTTGGATTCTAAATTAAATGTCAGCCCACTGTACATTTCTGGCTCCAGCTGCAGAAAATGAGGAGCTGGCGTTGGAGACCATCCAGTTGTTCAGCTCCCCGTGCCTAACGGTGAGGGGTGACAAGCCCGTTGAATCACCGCACAGCACCTTTCCGTGCCATGGGAAGCCAAGACAAATTCATTTTTAATGATAAATGTGACTGTCAGAGTTAAGTTGGAGCAGCTTTACAGGGAGAACTGAGTGCCTGTGGCAGAGCAGGGCAGAGGCTGGGTGGACGAGGGCCAGAGGTCCTGACCTCTTGGCCAGCCAGCCCCAGGCCCCGGGAGATGGGCACATTTGACATTCCCTCCACGTTCGCTGAGTCCCTTGCTGCAATCCCGTTCAGGAGCTCTCAGACAAGAGGCGCCAAGGCATTTGAGGAAGAGAGTGGGTTCCAGCAGTGCAGGCCAGGGCTCAAATCCTGGCCCCACCAATTTCTGTGCGACCTCGGTCCAGGTACTTCTCTCTGAAGTGCAGTTGCCTCATCTTTTAAACGGGGATAGTAGCAATACCCACAGGTCTTGGGTGAGGGTGACGTGAAGTAAGAGGGTGGTGCTCACGAGCAGGGTCTAGCACGGGGGACATGCTTACCAAATGGTGATTTGGTATTGATGGTATAGTTTTTTTAAAATGTATTTTAAAGTATTAGGGATTGAACCCAGAGCCTGACACATCCATACTAGGCAAGGGCTCTACCCCTCAGCTACATCCCCAGCCTGGTTTTTACTTTCTGTTTTGAGGCTGGGCCTTGCTAAGTTGTCCAGGCTAGCCTTGAACTTGCCATCCTCCTGCCTCAGCCTCCTGAGTGGCTGGGGTAGAGGTGGGCACCAACACACCCAGCTTATATTATTAAGGAGACTGCTACTGTGCTGCGAAAGTGACCTTTCCACATCCATTTCCTTACCTATAAAAGGAGATGGTAAGAGCTCCCACCTAGTAGAGGGGCTGAGCAGAGGGTGATACTCAACAGACTGCAACTGGCCCAGGGGTGGCACCTGGATATTGTCACCCTATGTCCCCAGCTACTCTCCCTTGTCCCCTCATTGGCACTCTTGGTTTCTGTCTCTCCCACATGGTGTGCCTCACTCTCTGCCCCACACCCCTCCCTGTGTCAGGTCCCCGGAGCCACACCCTCCCAGTAGGCTGCAGTGGGCACCTGTCAAGGACCATGCCCAGGCCAGGTGACAACCTGTGATTGATAAGGCCTGGTCTACAGGACGAGTGGGTGGGATCAGAGCCCTTCCTTCTCCCTGGAATTTAAACTAAGTATCTCAGACAGGCCTTGTCTGTTGGGTGGCCACAGAAAAGAAAACAGATTAGTGAGGAAGAGAGGGGTGGCAGGGGACAGGGCAGCCTTGGATCTGGTCCCATGTGGCCTGCAGGCCCCGGGCTCTGGCCTCCCTGAGATGGATCCTGGGCTGGCTGGGAAGCCCAGATCCTACCCAGGCCAGCATGCTGCGTGGGCTTAGCACTGGTGTCCTGCACCGCGGGCTTTGTCCAAAGGCTATGGGAGGTGGGGAGACTGCTCTGTGGGCTCAGCTGTCTTCTCTTCCAGCAGGTCTCAGGGAGGGGTCGCACAGGCTCTGGGACGGCTTCCATCTCCTCCCCGCATGGCATGACGCCCTGAGGGGCTGGTGACAGGTGCAGCTCTTCTCCAGGACAATGCCCAGGAGCATCAGGTGAGCTCAGCCTGTAAAGCACCTGCAGGCTCACGCCAGTCACGTGTCATGGCTGGCCCTCTGGTGTCCTAAACAGAGGCATCATAGGGCGGGTGATGGGGTGAGGACTGAACCCCAACATGCACACTGCAGCCCCACAGGCAGGAGGGCTGAGGATCCTTTGCTGAGCGGGTGTGATGACCCGGCAGAAAACACTGCCAGGAGGAGCCGCTAGGTGGCCCCCGCTCACCTGTCCAGGCTCCCTCTGCAGGCCCTGGAGCAAGTGGTCTGGAGCAAGCTGGGTCAGCACCTGCCCAGGCACACAGGCTGCTGTGGCCCCGCACTGGGAACTCCTTCCTCCCCAGCATCCAGGCACCCCTGCCTTCACGGGAGGCCTATGACCCTTCTTCTCGGGTGCCTTCCCTGGCCACCCAGCACACCCCCCCAGGACTTCCTCTGCTGGCCCTCAGGACCCTCACTCAGACTGCTCTTCCTAGCCCCTACCCCAAGCTTGCTTCATACCAGACCCCCTGAGGGGCTGCACACCTCCCAGCTTCCTCCCCAATGAGAAAACCCGGTCAGGAGAGAACACGGAATCTACCCCGGGGATGTCTCGGCCTTCCTGCCAGGTGCCTTAACATATTGTCGCTTAGAACCCCACCCAGGCACCGAGGCCTTCCTGGAGGGTGCTGTGAACCCCTTGGAGTAAGTGGAGAAACTCAGTCCGCACAGCCAGGACCCTGTTTCTCCACCACATCCTTCTGCCCAGGCCTGAGGGTCCTCCAGGTCACCCACCCACCCTCTAATTAATAGTAAAAAAGGAGGACACACAGACAGAGCCAGAGTGCAGAACGGAACCCAAGTCTGACTCAGCCAGTGCTGGGAGATCCTGTAGCTCTCGGAGTCCAGGAGCACTCCTGCCCCGAGCCCCCACCACCAGGTAGCCTGCCACGACCGCGGAGAGGGACAAGAGAGGGACAAAAATGGGGAGACAGACTGGCAGCCGGTGGGAGAGAGACGAAGACGGTGCCAGAGAACAGCGTGGCGGGCCAAGGCGCCCCGGGAGCCGGAAAACAGCTTCGGGAGAAGCGGGGGACGGGAACGGGGGCGTCTATCTGGAGCTGGGGGAGCTGGAGACAGGCGGCCGCAGACAGGCGCGGGGGAGGGGCAGCCGGCGGGGGCGCGGCGTGGGGCGTGTGGGAGCCACCCGGTCAGAAGCCACAATAGCAGCTCGTTAACGGTGCAGATTAAGGACTTTGTCAATTACCTCCGAAGGCTGCTCGGGCGGATTAAATGCTTTTAAAAGTGCTGCCGGTGGGAAGGGGCGCCTAAGAAGCCCCCCTCCCGGCTCAAATCCCTCCTCTCCGGGCAGAGGGGGAGGCGGGGGACTAGGACTGCGCGGGACGCGCCGGGAGCGCGGAAGAGTCTTGGAGCAGCTCGTACGCGCGCCCGCGGCGCCCGCAGCTGTCCTGGCGGCAGGGACCCAGGTTCGGCCCGCGAGCCTCCTGGGCAGAGAAACGTGGATCCGCTGTGGGCCCGCGAGCGCCAGGGCACGGGTCTGGGAACGCAGGCCGAGGCGTTCCCAAAACCCGGCTGCAGAGTCGGGTTGGAACGGGGCGGGGCAGGCGGCCGGAGACTCTCCGGCTGGGCACACTTGCCCCAGGACCCCGACCAAGACCTCGGGCCCACAGGGGGCGCACTCTTGCCGGTCCCCACCCCTGACTCCTAGGGTTTAGGAGTGGGCCCCGCGCCCCGAGCCCAGCACCGCTCCCGGGAGACGCTCGACGGCGCCGCGGGGGCGTCCACGAGGCCCGCTTGGCGCCGCGCCCCGCGCAGGGTGAGTTGGTGCGAGTCCCGCCGAGAGGAAGTTTGTGCAGAGGCGCCGTCAGCCCGCAGCCCGTGCCCGTTTGCGGGGGCCTGGGGGCCAGTTCTGCCTCCTTTATCCCTGCCGTTTGGGAGGTGGAGTTGACTCTCCAAGTCCGCGGTGCCTGTGCGCGTGCTGGTGTGTGTACGTGCGTGCGCGCGTGTGTGTCGGGGGGAGGCCGAGGGGAGCAATAAAAGGCAGGAGAGTCCGAGACAAAAAAGACACGGAGATTGAGAAGGGGGCGGGAGGCAGGAGCTGGGAGAGGAGCGCGCAGGGAGGCGCGGGAGCGGGAGCGGGGAGCGGGGACGGCGCGCAGCGAGAGCGGCAGGCGGGCTGGCAGCGGGCGGCTCTCGCGCTCCCGCACACACCCGCGCGCACACCGGGATACACACACACCTGCACACAGCCGCCTGCTGCCGGGTCGCCCCGGTGCCGGGTACCGAGGAGGGGACAGAGCGTGCTCCGCGCCCGAGCCTGCGCCCACCTCGCCGCCTTTGCGCTCCGCAGCGGCGCGCCTCGGCCGGCGCCCCCGCCAGTCCCGCCGGAAGATGGTCAACGACCGGTGGAAGACCATGGGCGGTGCTTCCCAACTTGAGGAACGGCCCCGCGACAAGCCGCAGGTACACACCGGCGCGGGGACAGGGGCCAGCGGCTGGTGAGGCGCTGTCCGCTTGGGCTGCGGGGCGGGCACCTACTGCGGGGGCTGGAGTTTGGGGAGCTCCAGCCAGGAGCCCGGGGCGGGCACCCTTCTCTCCTCCCCATAGGATACTGGACTCGGGGCTCAGATGGGGGCGGCGCCCCGGGAGGAGCTTCTCGGGCTGTGGCCAGGTGCGGACCCCGCTCCAGTCCCCAGCAGAGATTCTGGGTACAGAATCAGACTGAGTAGAGGACCTATAGTTAGCTATGATCAGCCCTTTAGTTTGCTCTTGACCGACAAATGACTTCCCTTGCTGAATCGATTTCCTCACCTCTATCTTGGGCATCTTCAGCACTTACAAAGTCCCCACTCTGGATGCCACCCTGTGCCAGGCACCTGGTACATCAACCTGAGCTTCAGAACCAGAAGTGGCTTCCCTGGATCTCCCCTTAATCTTTCCCATATGTCAGGACCCTGCATACAGCAGGGAATTAATACACGTTCACCTCCTGTTAAGAAGGCTGGACATTGTGATTCTCTGACTTTAAGGAGAGCAAAGCAAGGCTCAGAGAGGCCCATCTCCAGCCTGAGGCTACACAGCTCTGCAGGGATCTGAACCCTGGTCTGTGTGCTTCAGGGCTGGTTGGGCCCTCCCTTCCTGCTGCCTCTGCCCTGCTGGAGACTTGGAGGGTGCCCACCTCTGTCCCTGGGGGCAGGAAGAGAGAGTAGAGCAGGGCTGGCCATCCATCGAGGGGTGCCATCCAGAGCTGAGGCGGAGGGGCTGCCCCAGGGCTGCCCCAGGCCGGGCCACCAAGGGACAGGGCCGGCAGGCTGGAGGAGCGGCTTCTCACCATGGAGAGGAGATAATGGGGCTGTTCGTTTTAAATTTTAAATCTCTTGCAGACAGCTGTCACTGGGGAAGGAACAGTGAGTTTGCAGCCACTGGAGGGGGCGGCCCCTGCTCTCTGGAGCTGCAGCCTGCTCTTCTTCTGGAGGGACACTGGTGTGGCAGGGGGACCCAGCCTCCGGCAGTTGGCACACCTTTTCCCTTCCTCTGCACTGCCTCACACCCCAAAGCCGTCTGGGGGCCCGTCAGCCGTGTGCATCCCACATCTCAGACTGGGGTCAGAGTGGTCACCAGTCACAAGCTTCTCCCAAGCTTCTCCCACTGCCTTCTCAGGGGGCAGGAGGGTCTACCTGGCTTCTTAAGCTTGGTCTCCCCCAAGCCATCCAGGTACCAAGCCCCTCCTGCTGAGTCTGGACTCAGCCTTCATTTCTAAACTTGTCCTTGAGGGCCGTCCCCAGCCTGGCCCCGTCTCTCTTCCTCTGAGTCCCCTGCAGGTACGGACTGCTTGTCATTGGCCGACTCTGGGTCTCGCTCGACTTCCAGATCTTTTATCTCTCTTCTTGTTGGCTCTACCAGGCTCCCCAACACACACACACACACACACACACACACACACACACACACACAGGCCTCTTCATTCAGGGACACCTTGCCTAGTCCTCAAAACCCAGCTCAAATGAAGCCACCTCCTCTGGGAAGCCTTCCCTGATGCCTAGTGGGTGTGTCTCTCAGTCCCAGTAGGGTTCTTAGCCTGTGCCTCCACTCAGTGCCCCATTCCCCAGCACTGGGTCCCCCCTCCAGGGCAGTTCCCTTTGGACAAACACCTTCTGGGTCCCCACTTGTGGTCCCCCTGCAGGCCCAGGCCTCCTTCCTTCCAGGCTGTTCAGGTTGGGAGCCCAAAGCTGTTTGCTGAGTGAGCCGCTCAGAGCTTCAGCCAGGAGGGGCTTGGGCGATGAGCCAGGGAGCCTGCGCTGTCTCCAGGGGAGGTGGCTTCTAGGGATCGGTTTGAGATGTGGCTTCAAGGTGTCCTGGGCCCGGCTCAGCCTCCCAGGCCTGCTGCTCCTCAGGGGCTCAGCTCCCAGCTGCACGTGCCCCTGGGCACCACTGGGGTCCAGGAGGCTGAGCCAATACCAGAAACCCCCTCCTCACAGGGTGAGCCAGCAGGTGGCCGGCTGACCCTGGGCCAGCTCTATGCTTATTTGAAGCTACAGACGGAGCCCAGGCCTTTCTTGTGCCCACTGTCAGGTTGGAGAGAGCCTCGGGGCCCAGGTTCCCTTGAGGCCTGCCCCCCCCCAGCCTCCCCTCCCTTGCTTCCACTTTCACCTTAGCCATTCATTGACAGGCTGTGTGACTCTGGGTAAGTTACGCCTCCTCTCTGGGCCTGGGCTGTACCGTCTGTAAAATGGGAGCAGCAAAATCTGCGTCCTCCTCCCTTTAGGACTGACTGAAATACTGGGGTGTTTTGCAAACTGTAAAGCACTGTGCACCCACGAAGAGGTTGGTTCTCTAAGCACCTGGACCCCTTTCCCCGGCTGTCAGGACCCTAATCTCTTCTCTGCACCCCAGCTCCCACCGCAAGGGCCTCTGTCACAGGGCCCTTCTTGTAGAATATTCCAGTACGCACCCCGGGGTACCAGTTGGGCTCAGCCCGACATCTCTCACTTCTTAGTCACACCCTGGAAGTTGGGTGGCAGAGGTGCCCATCACCCAGGACAGACGAGGCCACGAGGGGCGGGAGCTGGGAGCTGAGCCGGGCCCTCGGGCAGCAGAGGGCGTCCTCTGGGAAGAGCAAGGAGGGAGGTTCAGCCAGAGTGAGGGCACCCTTCCCCGGGACAGGGCTCTGCTCCCGTGTGTGGCTCTCAGGGCACGTCCACACCCTGGGGCCCGGACCGCCTCGGGCCACTCCGTCTGTCTGGCCTCATCTTCTCATTTTCTGGGTGACCTAGGACACGCTGCGGACCTCAGCCTCAGGACTGTCCTTTCACTTGGCAGAAGGGTGCGGCAGAGTTGCAGGAGCTGGAGTTACTTGGATGAAAGGATCTAGAACTAGACAGGGTCCTTCCAGCCTGGAGGGAGGAAGTCGCCAGAGACTGTCTCCTCCCTGGGGAGGTGAGGGCTGGTTTCCAGCAGTCCCGAAGCCTCCCCGCAGTGAGGTGGACCTCCAGCCCAGCCCAGACAGTGTCTCTTGATGTTTTCAAAACTTCAAAAAACATCCCAGAAAGAAAGAAACAAATTCTCATCGGGAAGTTTTTCCTGATGTCTAACTTTAACTCCTGCTGTATTTAACTCACTTGGTGGTGATTTATGGAGAACATACTTGGTGCAAGGAGGCTGTGCCTCAGGAGGCTTAGAGTCCCAGAAGCCAACCCAGAAGCCAGACTTTATCATACCAGATGGTGGGACTCAGCATGACCTCTGGGCCTCATCCCTCATGTTTCCTGGGGCTTGGGATGAGGCCACGTTTGGGGTGAGGAAGAGGGAGAGGGAGAGGGGAGAGGAGACTCCTGGGGCTCCCCCGTCCTGCGCTCCCAGAGCTGCTGCTGCTCTGGAGGAGCTCACTGTGCAGCCCTGTGTGGCCGGTGGGCGCCCCGGGCAGGCGGAGGCGGGCAGCGGACAAGCTTGGTGGAGAGGGCTCAGGTGCAGGGGGAGGGTCACCAGGAGTACCAAGCAGGTGCCTCGAGGCTGACACTAGCCCAGCCTCCGGTGCCCTGGGGTGGTCTCAGTGCCCTGGTTTAAGGGGACAGTGCCCTGGACGGCTCTGCCTTGTGGGTTCCTTGTGTTGGAGTTGGGGGAGGGGGAGCCGGCAGGGAGATGGTCACTGTGGTCCCTGTGGTGGGGCCTGGGCCAGGGCAGGACCTGGGGGTGGGGCAGTGGGCGAGGGGGCAGCAGAGGCAGGGGACAGAGCTGGGTGACCGATGTGCGTGAGGGGGCCCAGGGAGGTGCTAGCTTTGGAGGACAGCTGGTGGGTCGGTGCCGTCCCCCTGCTGGGGTGGACAGACCCTGGTGTGGGCTTCAGTGGGCGTGAGGCCAGGAGCTGTGTGTTTGAGGAGAGTGGACAGGCCAGTATAGGAAACCTCTGGGGACAGACCCCAGCAGACCAGAGCCGAGCGCCCCCTGGGGAGCCAGAGAGCCTGGGGGCTCCGCGCCTCCAGGAGGGGCGACGGCTGCAGCCGCTTCCTTCTGGACACCCTCCCAGCGCCACGGCTCCAGATGCCCCTGAGAACGGACTCCGTTGGAGAGGCTCTGGCAGGACAGGGGCATGCTCAGGTCACACAGGAGGCCGATCTCTTCCTGCATCTGGGGGACTCCAGAATGGGAACAGAAACACCGCCCTTTCCCCAGGGCTTCTGCAGGGCCTGGGGCTCACGGTTCAGATGGAGGAAGAACCCCGGGCTCTGGGCTGGGGCGGGGGCTGTGCGGCTCCCTCAGGGCTCCAGAGCACCCAGGCCCCTGGACGTCCTCCTGGGAAGAACAGCCTCCTGCCTGGCTGGGGCTCGGGAGAGGCAGTGGGCGCAGAGGCTCACGCAGGCTCTGACCTCACCTGCCCCTGGAGGGGGACCTTCTTCTGTGACTTCATCCGAGGAGATAGGCTGGGGCCACTCGGGTACTGTGCCACCCACCTTCCTCAGAGTCGAGGCAGAAGGGCAGCGTGAGGGCGGAGCTCCTCCCCCTCAGCCCTCTTATCCTTCCCCAGAGCCCCACTGGGGACAGGTCGCCTGGGCAGCTGTCACCTAACTGGGGCACCTCCTGCCTCTCTCCCAGCCCAAGTCCATCTTGTCCTCTGTGGGCTAAGGTTTTCCAAGCAGCCATGGACCCTGGGCTGGCACTGGGGGTCACTCAAGAAACAAAGCGGTGTCCCCCCCCAGTTGGTAGCTCACATGGGCAGTTAGTGGCTGAAGTGGACCTTGAACCTGGGTCTCCCTTCCTGGGCTCCGGGAGGCTGGCCTCAAGGCTGCCACCTGGATGCCTCGTTCAGGGGAAGCGGGCCCGTGTGCCCCTCCCCCTCGCGCCATCCTCTGGGGTCCCTGGCTCTGTGGTGGCCAAAGGCTGTTCAGTAAGCCGCAGCCCAAGGCCCCCTCGCCGGTCCTCGCTGTCTCAGGCAGATTTCTTTGCGAGGCACGTAAACTACAGCCTATAAAAGCGAATAGCACTTCATCTTTAAGGTTGATCTCTGAAGACTAATTCTCCTCTGCCAAGTGCCCTGCTTCATCTCCTGGCTGCGATGTCCCTGCCTCCAGGGTCCCCAAGCCTGCGAGAGCCCCTGCCCTCCTTGATGGCCTCTGTCTTCCAGGGAGGGCTGGGGGTGGGGAGGAGGGTGCCCAGTGGTCAGGCTGGGGTCCTGGACGCCCCGTGGGGGGTGGCTGGCTGCTCTGCAGAGCACCCCACCACGCCACCAGGGACCTGGACGCTGCACAGTCCAAGGATGCAGCTCAGAGATGCTCGGGGCAAGGTGTCTCCTGGCGGACGCCGGAACACGCAAGGCTGGGGCTTACTTGCTGACGCGGGGCTTTGTCTCCGGAGCCCCAGCCGGAGCTCCTCCGGAGGAGGAAAGACACGAGAGGATGCTGGGGAGGGGTCCTGGCGCACCTGCCCACCGCGAGCCGCTCAGCCTGCAGAGGCTGCCTCTACTGCTTGTCCCCACGTGGCTTTGGGCTTGGGGCCTTGCTCTCTGAGCCTCAGTCTCCCGTAGGCAGGATGAGCTGGACCCTGCTGTTCACTGCAGGAGGTTGCTTGGAGCTGGGGTGGGGGAGCACGCGGGTGCCCATGGAGTGACCGGTCATGCCAAGCCTGCCTCTCTGTGAGCCGCTGGGGCCTGGGCCGGCCCAGAGGTCACCTTCATTCAGTGCCGCATCATCAGAGGTGGGCACAGGGTCAGAGGTGGCCTGCCTCAGGATCCGGGCCTCAGTGGGGAGTCCTGAGCCTCTGCCAACTATGCACGGCAGGTCTCAGCAGACCCCCGCCTCCTCCCCAGTCCAGCATCGTCCTGCAGACACGGCCTAGGCCATCTGCTCTTCCTTCCTTCTGTCCGTCCATCTGTCTGTCCATCCATTAATATCCAGCAGTCAAGACAGTCTGTGCCGGGCAGTGAGCAGATCCTCGCCTGGGCTGGGACTCACCGTCCAGGGCATCCGCCAGCCCTGAGTCCCCAGAAACGCCGTCTACGGCTTCCATCACCTGCCCACGTGGCTCAGCGCCCCAGGGAGGTCACACATCACAGTCCGTGGGACACGAGCTCCGCACCCGGGTCTGACCTCCCCACCCTCGCGCCCTCAGGGAGCCTGGCTCCTAGGGAGACCCAGCGAATGTGGCATGGGGGGTCTCATGACCTTCTGCCTCCAGCACCTCATGGGGAACGGGGAGAAGTCCCCAAGCTCAGGGAGGGAGGGAAATCCAGGAAGGCTTCCTGGAGGAGATGACCCCCGGGGCCTGAGGAGGAAAGCGAGTCAGGCCACCAGGAAAGGGAGCCAGGCGAGCAGCTGTGCCCGGCCCAGGAGCAGCCCGCGCGGAGCCGGGGGAGCTGGGGTGGAGTCTGGCTGGAGAAGATGGTCCGAGTGTGTGGGACCCGGCGTCATGACATGAGGGACAGTCCCAGGACCTCTGTCCCTCACCTTGACAAAAAGCCAGACCCTTCCTCAGGGTCCCCGGGCCTGCCTGCCCCTCCCCGACCTGTCCTCCTCTTATGAGCATGTGAATGCACGGAAAGGCGCTGGCGCCTCCCGAGGCTTTCTCAGTAGTAAGACCTGATGGCTGTCTCCCCAGCAGCCAGAGCGCTGTCAGCCACGGCGCAAGACGCCCCTGCCACGTCAGAGAGAGAGAGAGAGAGAAGGGGGGAGTGCCTCTCAGGCATCCAGAGCCACAGAAATAAAACCACCTCCAGACACTGGTGCCCGTTGATCGCGGGATGATAAAAGCTGCTAATATTCATCGCAGAAACACAGGGGCCAGGCACAGCTCCAAGTGCTGGGGTATACTAACTCATTGAAAGAAGCGTCTCAGATTCAGCAAGTTGAAATGTGGGTCATGACGTTGAGGAGATTCAGTGGTAGGGGGTCCCTGGCCCTGGGGGAAAGCAGGAGGCTTGGGATCCAACTGAAGCTCTGTTCCTAACTTGCTGTGTGACTCTGGGAAAGCCCCTTGCCCTCTCAGGGCCTCTTTTCCAGTAGCTGCCAGCGGTTTGCCCCTGCGGTTCGTGCTGCTGTGAGCCACGGCCGCCCTTCACGGCCAGCTGCACTTTGGCTGGGGCTGCTTTGGTCTTTAGGCCCCACCTAGAGGGCCCTGTCCTCTGACCTGTCCCCTGCCTTCCCTGCCTCCATTCATCCCGTTCTGGGAGTCACAGCCTCAGTCATTAAGGCAGGGACCTTGCCCAGTGGCCTTCGGGCTGTTTGGCATCTGTCCTGCCAGGGCCCTGCCCTGTGAAGAGGGCCAGCCGAGGGGAGAGGAGATGTCAGGCAGCCACTCTGTGCCCAGCAGGTAGAGACCAGCCACCGTAGAACAGACAAGGGATCCGCGGGACCTTTGGTGACTGGCATCCACCACCCCAGGGCAGTGACAGCAAGTCCATTTTAGCATGACCCACGTCACCATTAAGGCTCTCTCCCTGGGTCAGCAGAGCAGGTGCCCACATACAGAGAGACGAGAGCCACTATTGCTGCATTTTTACAGGTGAGGAAACTGAGGCTCAGAGAGGTGAGGTCCCTCTGCAGAGGTCACTCAGGAACCTGAGCCCAGGCCTGAGGGCGGCAGAGTGGGGATGTGCCTCAGCCCCCACTGGACCCGCGGGGCTCTGTGGGATCCAGGTGGCTGCACGTGAAGGGGACCGGGGACTGCTGTGCTGCACTGTGGCAGGTGGCAGGTGGGGCAGGGGGTCAGAGGGAAGGCACAGTGCACCTCTCCCTGTCCTGGCTGCCCTCTGGGCCCTGGCTCCTTCCACCTTTCTAGTTCTCTTGCTGCCCGCGCCCCCAGCACCCCCGAGTCCTCACTGGGCAGAGCCGGAGGCCGGGGTCTGCCCCTGACGCTTGCCCCCCTCTCTCCTGTCCGTCTGTCTGTCTGTCCATGCATCCTGGGCTGGCCTGCAGCGGCCGAGCTGTGGCTACGTGCTGTGCACCGTGCTGCTGTCGCTGGCCGTGCTGCTGGCTGTGGCCGTCACCAGCGCAGTGCTCTTCCTGAACCACGTGCACGTCCCGGGCACGGCGCCCCCACCCATCGTCAGCACAGGACCGGCCGGGGCCAACAGTGCTCTGGTCACCGTGGAGAGGGCCGACAGCTCCCGCCTCAGCATCCTCATTGACCCACGTTGCCCTGACCTTGCGGACGGCTTTGCCCGGCTGGAGGGTGCCCAGGCCTCGGTGCTGCGGGCGCTGACTGAGCACCAGGCCCAGCCACAGCTGGCAGACACCCAGGAGCAGGAGCTGCTGGACACCCTGGCCGACCAGCTGCCCCGACTGCTGGCCAGGGCCTCGGAGCTGCAGGCCGAGTGCACGGGGCTGCGCAAGGGGCACAGCATGCTGGGCCAGGGGCTCAGCACCCTGCAGCATGAGCAGGGCCGCCTCATCCAGGTAAGGGGTGGGGCTGTGCCTCGGGCCTCGCAGAGGTGGGGGCTGCTGACTCCACGCACTGCCCTTGGACTGGACGCCTGCAGCCCAGGCCTCACTTCAGCCCCGACCAGGGGCCATGGCCGTTGCCATCTGCAGAGAGCATGAGGCCAGAGGCAAAGTCTCGCCCACAGCCACCAGCTCCTGGCTACCAGGGTCCAGACCTTGTCTGTCCCACACATTCTCCTGGGGACCCTGGGACAGCCCAGGGTCACACTTGGGGCCCTCCAAGAGGCAGGGTGATGCTGGCGAGGCTGGGCACCGTCCTGTCATAGCAAAGTGAGGCTCGGAGGGGTGCGACGTGCTCGAGGCTGTGTGGTCGGGTAGTGCCCTGGGTGGGGTGAGAGAGCTGCACCCTGTCCCCAGAGTCCCCCGTACACCGCCCACAGCATGGATGTGGGATGCAGACCCTCAGTCTGTCCCCACCCGGCCCTTCCCTGCCCTGAGTCAGGTTCCTGCGGGCACCAGGCGGGTGATGAGGGATTGCTGGCACCCTGTGGGGACAGCCCCAAGGCACTGGCCAGAAGGAGCCCCTTTATGGGGTCAGGGACTTCCGACTGTCTGGCTGCCTCTGCCGCCTTCCACAACAAAAACTGAGGCCCAGAGAGGGGCGGGGGAGTGGCGGTGGCGTCCTGGTACTGTGCCTGCTCAGACTCCAGCCCTGAGCCATGTCACCCCCCGGGGTCAGATCCCCAGGGGCTGGAATCCAGCCCAGGCCGCCATCAGCGCCCTAGCCTTTTCCATCCACCCCCCTTCCGGACACCAGGGATGACCAAGCACTTGGTCACTCCGTGGCTCATGAGCAATGGGCTCTTCCCTCCCTCTGAAGGCTGCAGCTGGAGAAATTACAGTCCTCCTCGCCCTGTCGGGGTGACAGATGGGCGGCTGGGGGAAGCTCAGCCGGCCTCCCGCCGCCCCTCCCCCCACAGCGTCCCGCAGGCGGGAGAGCTCCAGGCTTGCGGGATGGGCCCACCTCGGCCTCCCCAGGCTCAGCCTGGTCAGCTGGGGCCTGGCCAACGCTCACCCTTTGAGCTGGGAGGGCCCCCTCCCATGGCATGGACAGCTTTCCTGGGACCCTTTGCTGCCGCAGCCCCCAGACGGGTTGTCCCTCACCACTGTTGAGCTTCCCAGTCTCCAGATTCCAGAGACCTGCCTCTTTGTCTCACCCAGAGGCAGCGGCCATGGCTCCGAAGAAGCCCTCCTCTCCCTGTGCCAGCCGCCCGGCTGCACAGCCCTGAGTTCTCAAAGAGGCCAGTTGGGCAGGTTCCGGACCCCAGCCCTACCCCCAGGACCTAGCACAGGAGCAAGCGTCAGGAGTTGTCAGGCACGGTCCCCCGGGCCCTCTGGCTGGGCTGAGCTTCCGCCCTGAGGGTCTGACGTGGCAGAGCTGGGGTCCTCGGGCAGGTCACATGTCCAGGCTGGTTTTTCTCACCTGTAAAATGGGGGTGACCCGTCCAGGCTGGGGGGCGTGCGAGCCCTCGGGAGGCTCAGCCGCACAATGACACGTGAGGTCCCACTGCCTGCCCCACCTGAACTGAAATTGAAACCGTGGGCGCCCCGTGGAGGGTCCCCGTGTGCCAGGCCCTGTGCTCAGGGTGGCCTTCAGCCCAGTACCCCACGGAGGTGGAGGGGCAGACGCCAAGGGCTTCGGAGCTTGGTCGCCGGCCAGACGCCGGGAGCAGCCACTCGGATTCTGGCCTCTGAAGCAGCCGCCTCCTCGCGGCGCCTGTGCAGTGGGAGAGCAGGGACTGACTTGCCCATTAATTCGGGGCATGTTTATGTGAACATTTTCAACTTTAATCATTTGCTGGTGGAAACCGAGGTCTTCCCTGCCCGTCAGCAAGAGGGAGGGCCGCGCCTGAGTTCCTGAGCTGAGGCTGCTCCGCCTCTTGGAAGGACGAGCACAGCACGGTGGCTCCACCACCCGAGTCCCCGGGCTGCCCTTCCCTCCAAGGGGCCCGCCCAATGGCCAGTGACCCCGCTGCGCTGCTCCCCCAGGCGCAGCCCTCAGCGAATCCCCTGCTTGGCGGAGGGGAAGGTGACAGGGGAACTGACAGCTTCGCGGGCTGCCTCCCGCGAGCGGGCATCCTATTTTGTAAACTGCCGGCTGGCGCGTTTCTATCTCCCTTCCTCCGATGGGCTATTATCTGGCGAGTGACAGGTTCGGTGTGTGAGACCGGCCTGCTGCACGCTGCCAGCTGCCTGTAATCTGCCCCTGTCCCTCCCTCCCCCTCCACGTGGTCCCACAGCCCCCTGGAACCCAGGCTGTGGAAGCAGGAGACCCCAGACCCCTCAGGCCACCGGCCCCCCAGAGGCCCCCAGGGAGCCACAGGGTCCTGCTGATCTCCTGCCCTGGGCAGCAGTGGGCGGGAGGGCAGGCGTCAGAAAGAGGACCCTGGTGAAGTGCTTGGGAACCCCCCCCAGAAAGACCCGTGTCCTCATCCCCCTGTGCAGGCCAGAGAGGTCTCACTCTGCCAGGGTCCTGGGTCCCCCAGACCTTGGGTTTGTTGTACAGTGACACAGTCCTGGGGAAGTGACCGAGGCCTGGTCCTCATGCCTGCTCACTCACAGGGACTGCTCCTCAGTCTGGGCCTCAGTTTCCCCCTTTGTAACAAGGAGTTGATGACCTCAAGTCCCAGCCCTCTGCAGCACTGTGGGAGGCCCAGAGAGGTCCGCGGCAGCAGCCGACCGCGGAACCTCAAAGCAGCGGTCCCATGGAGATGGGGCTTTGGAGTGGGTGTCCTTGGTCCTGGGCCCAGCCCCTACCTGTGTCCAGGCTCCCATCACCTCGCCAAGCCTCAGTATCCCTCTGTCAAGGGCAGATCAGTCACTCCTGCCTGGCCACCTTGCCTGGGGGCAGAGGAGGTGGCAGGTGGGCGTCCTCCCGCCTGGGGGTGCCGTGGAGCTCTGGGAGCTCACCCTGGGCCCTCTGTGCTGTTTGCAGTGGCCACCAGGGCAGTTTGGCCAGGGAGGCAATGTCGGCCCCGTTTTCCCTAGAAGGATCCCTACAGGGCACTTGCCGTAGCTGTGGAACTGGTCAGTGGGTGGTCAGGCTGACCCCAGCCTGGCCCTGCCACGAGCTGCCTCCACCTGCACAGGCCACCCGCACAGAAATGGCTGAAGGGCAGTCAGGCGGCAGGAACCTGCTGGGACACCCTGCCTCCTCCCACCTGGGCCCCTGCCCTCGGAGCCCCAGGTCTCAGACCGGCAGCAGCCAGCAGAGCTCAGCTGACCCTCAGACACCCTGCACAGGGAGCCGGGTCGGAGCAGGCCGCGGCTCCCTGAGGCCAGGAGCCCACTTCTGCCTTGGGGGAGGGCCCTTCTGGCAGGTGGCACGCTGTGTGCCCGTGACCTGCGGGGTCCCTGCGGGGTCCCTGCGCCCTCCAGTGAGCCCCCGTGCTCTGCAGCTTCTCTCCGAGAGCCAAGGCCACCTGGCTCACCTGGTGAACTCTGTCGGCGACGTCCTGGATGCCCTGCAGAGGGACCGAGGGCTGAGCCGGCCCCGAGTCAAGGCCGACCTCCAGAGGGCTCCTTCCAGGGGCGCCCGGCCCCGGGGCTGCGCCAACGGTGAGTGGGGGGGGTGCCTCCCAGGTGACTCACGTGCCCTGCCCTGGCGAGCAGGGAGAGCCAGGGCCCCACTGTGCCCTGTCCTTGGCCACCCACCTCACGGCTCTGACGGACAAAGGAACGCTCCGGCTGGGGACCCAGGATTTCCTGTGGCTGAGCAGCTGCCAGCACGTCACCCACGCCCTCCCGTCAAGCTCTCTTAACCCATTTACCAGAGAAGAAAAGTGAGGTCCAGAGAGTGTCGGAGCCGAGTTCTGACTGAGGCCGGTGCTCCTGGCTGCACGTGGCATCCCGGGGTGGACAGACAAGGCAGAGAGGGCAGGGACTGCTTGGGTAGGAAGGGGTGGTGGGGACATGGGCCTGGGCCGTGGCCAACCTGATGGGCCTTCCCCATGGCAGGCTCTCGGCCCCGAGACTGCCTGGACGTCCTCCTCAGTGGACAACAGGACGATGGTGTTTACTCCGTCTTCCCCACCCACTACCCCGCCGGCTTCCAGGTCTACTGTGACATGCGCACCGACGGTGGCGGCTGGACGGTGAGTCTGCATGTGAATCTGGTGCACACCCTGCCCGGGCCCTCGGCCCAGCCCGACCCCCACCACACCTGGACCCGGAAAGGGGGCTCGTGCCCCGAGGGAGCGGCAGCAGACAGGAGCAGCCTCGTGCGCCCTGGTTCTGGAGGTGTGCTGGGTCCCGGGATGAAACGTGGCTCCAGGAGCCGCTGGGTGGTGGACCTCGAGGGCCGCTGCGTGGGCGCTGGACTTCCTGAGCTATCCACTGAGCGGTGTGTGCAGGGAAAGGGGGGACGTGGGGCAGATGGCTTCCTGGCGAGGAGCCGTCGGATTCCTGCAGCTCCTGGTTCCTGCCTGGTTAGGTCATGGGAGCAATGGGACAACCAAGGGACAGGGGTGGGACAGTTACCAGTGGCTCTGAAGTTCCTCTGGGAGGAGGGGTTCAGGGGACAGAGGCTCAGGTTTGATGACCACAGGGTGCCTCCCGACCCGCCAGCTGGACGCTCCTTCAGGCAGGGCCTGGAGCTCTGTCTGCAGGGGCCCAAGGGAGACTGGCTCGTGGTCCGGCAGGCGCTGAGGTCACCAGGTCTCTGTCTTGGTGGCCACTGTACGGGAATCCAGGAGACCAAAGGGAAAGGCCAATGGGCTTCGCTCCAGTAACAAGACTTGTAGACCCTGAAATTTGAATTTCAAAAAATGCTCACATATTCCTCCCCGAATGTTATTCAGAGGACATTTTAAAAATTCTTCTTTTGATTTTTAAAAAATCATTTAAAAAGTTCAAAATCCTTCTCGGCTCGCTTGCTGTCCAGGAGCGGACAGTGGCAGGAGCCGGGCGGCAGGCCTGGTCGAGCTGGCCACTCTCGACCGTGGGGAATGAGCTTTCGTTCCAACCCTGAACCCCAGCCTCTTGGCAGGCACCACTGGCCATTGCTTGATTTTGTGCAGATTTGAAAAATGCACGTCCCTTCCTTTATGAGGACGCCCTGTCTCCTCCCACCTGAGCCCCTGGG